CTCAAAGAAGGGAGAGATGGGCAACCTCATGACTACCTTGACCACACTGAAGTTCAATGAAAGTCGCACTGTGAGAGAGCACATACTGAAGATGGTGGGGGCAGCGACAAAACTGAGTGATCTTGAAGTGCCCATTGATGATACTTTTGTCGTTCACATGGCTCTCAACTCTCTCTCTCCCTAAAAGTTATGAGCATTGAAGACATCCTACAATGCCAAGAAAAATGGGGCTTGATTGACACTACTAGAAATTTTGACTTTACTGAAAAATTAGTTCGTCGGCAAAAGTTAAAATTTGTCGGCAAAGATCCTTTCCGACGGAAAATTTTGTTGGCCATTTTGTCGCCCAAAGCATGTCGCGTAAGAGTTTTTCCAACAAATTTTTATACAATTGTTACGAAATAATACTTTATTGATTGATAAATTCCGAATGTAAATCAAGACGCTGAATATGAAAATATACAAATGGAAAAGAATGTCTTAGCAATCTAGAAACATAGGAACAATAAGATTTGGATCGAAAAAGGACAACCCTTCATTCAACCGAGCCATCTGCACAAGTAGAAGTAGAAAGTATTAATATATAAAAACTAAATAAAGCACCATAGCATGCAGTTGCAGAAATTTATAAACCAAGTAACCTAAACTTAATTCTGCAATGACTGATACCAAAATCCAGCCCTACATAGAAATAAAAGGAGCATGGAGTATGTGAACCAACTATGTAACTCGTAGCTGCTAGACATGATTGCACCACTTGCGTTACACAATGAAAACTATCTTGCAAAATTAACTTACTTAGATTTTGCAAACAACATTTTGAATGATCCAACAACACCTGAAACTATAGCCATACGAGAGTATTTCACATGAATCACAAGATTCACAACCAATAATTTAAATTATGACTACCATTAGAATCAGTACACCAGCAATACAACATGTAAATTTCACTAATTAAAATCCTACGAGTGGCCTCAAGTGAAAAATTCACCTATCAAGTGCCGAGTGGCCATACAAGACAACTTGAAAACCAACATGATGTCTTCAATCCAGGTCCTCGAAGCTAAAACAAAGTCTAAACAACAACCTAGACTTCAGTTGATAACAACCCTCCATGCATTCTTAGTTTTTAATGCTTGGAAAAGCTTTAGCTTCAAGAACACAGAATTCATACAACCATTCTAAACAAGATACAAACCACCACGCTTTTAGCTGTAGCATCATCTCAAGGCCCAGGAAGAAGTATATACCTCTGAAACTATAAGAAAGGTCTGGCACTAACTAGATGGTGGAAACTCATAGCTAATCGTTCAAATGAAAATATAGAAAATTTGTGCTAACTATGAACACGATTCCACGCAAGCAAACATTTGAAGTTGAAAGTGTGAAGTATGAAGAGAGACAAAAAGCCTCTGATGGAAGCCCAACTACCGGTTAATGAGGCAAAAACAACTACATGTGAACGATTGCAACATTTACCAAGTTCAGATGTTATTCCAACAATCCAAAAATAAGTCCAGGCACCATAAAGTAACAATTCAAAATGAAAGTAAATCAGGAGCAGATAAAAAAGGTAACAAAAAAGAGAGGGAAAAATGAAAATTAATAGAAGTGGTGAGAAATTTTTTTTTTTATTTAAGTTATAAACTTTTTTTATCACACACATACTGTTCATGACATACTCACTAGTTTTAAACGGTTTATTTTAACTCCGATTTTGATGAGTTTTATAACGAAACTCCGACCCTATATGAATACAATAAAGGAATTCAATCTTCAATTTAAAATATTTACACAAGTGGATACCACAAAATCTTATGTTATACTTAATGAAAGTATAAATAAACTCTAAGTGTTAGTCAATCTATCGTTTTACGAATTCTCCAAAACTAATTTCAACGATCCAAACCATCAAAATTGTTTGTATATGCTTGGAGATCACATCAGCAAAAAATCACAAAAAAAAAACATTTAGAGATCAAGTAACGGGACAAAGCTTTTCAACGGTTATAAACGAAAAATCACGATTTAACGGTTATTTTAACTCCGATTTTGATGATTTTTTATAACTACACTCATTGACCCTATATGAATACAATGAATGAATTTGATCTTCAATTTAAAATATTTACACAAGTGGATACCACAAAATCTTATGTTATACTTAATGAAAGTATAAATAAACTCTAAGTGTTAGTCAATCTATCATTTTACGAATTCTCCAAAACTAATTTCAACGATCCAAACCGTCAAAATTGTTTGTATATGCTTGGAGATCATATCAGCAAAAACTCACAAAAAAAAAAAACATTCAGAGATCAAGTAACGGGACAAAGCTTTTCAACGGTTATAAACGAAAAATCACGATTTAACGGTTATTTTAACTCCGATTTTGATGATTTTTTTATAACTACACTCCTTGACCCTATATGAATACAATGAATGAATTCGATCTTCAATTTAAAATATTTACACAAGTGAATACCACAAAATCTTATGTTATACTTAATAAAAGTATAAATAAACTTGAAGTGTTAGTCAATCTATCGTTTTACGAATTCTCCAAAACTAATTTCAACGATCCAAACCGTCAAAATTGTTTGTATATGCTTGGAGATCACATCAACAAAAACACAAAAAAAAAAATTTAGAGATCAAGTAACGGGACAAAGCTTTTCAACGGTTATAAACGAAAAATCACGATTTAACGGTTATTTTAACTCCGATTTTGATGATTTTTTATAACTACACTCCTTGACCCTATATGAATACAATGAATGAATTCGATCTTCAATTTAAAATATTTACACAAGTGCATACCACAAAATCTTATGTTATACTTAATGAAAGTATAAATAAACTCTAAGTGTTAGTCAATCTATTGTTTTACGAATTCTCCAAAACTAATTTCAACGATCCAAACCATCAAAATTGTTTGTATATGCTTGGAGATCATATCAGCAAAAAATCACAAAAAAAAAAATTCAGAGATCAAGTAACGGGACAAAGCTTTTCAACGGTTATAAACGAAAAATCACGATTTAACGGTTATTTTAACTCCGATTTTGATGATTTTTTATAACTACACTCCTTGACCCTATATGAATACAATGAATGAATTCGATCTTCAATTTAAAATATTTACACAAGTGAATACCACAAAATCTTATGTTATACTTAATAAAAGTATAAATAAACTCTAAGTGTTAGTCAATCTATCGTTTTACGAATTCTCCAAAACTAATTTCAACGATCCAAACCGTCAAAATTGTTTGTATATGCTTGGAGATCACATCAGCAAAAAATCACAAAAAAAAAACATTTAGAGATCAAGTAACGGGACAAAGCTTTTCAACGGTTATAAACGAAAATCACGATTTAACGGTTATTTTAACTCCGATTTTGATGATTTTTTATAACTACACTCCTTGACCCTATATGAATACAATGAATGAATTCGATCTTCAATTTAAAATATTTACACAAGTGGATACCACAAAATCTTATGTTATACTTAATGAAAGTATAAATAAACTCTAAGTGTTAGTCAATCTATCGTTTTACGAATTCTCCAAAACTAATTTCAACGATCCAAACCGTCAAAATTGTTTGTATATGCTTGGAGATCATATCAGCAAAAAATCACAAAAAAAAAACATTCAGAGATCAAGTAACGGGACAAAGCTTTTCAACGGTTATAAATGAAAAATCACGATTTAACGGTTATTTTAACTCCGATTTTGATGATTTTTTATAACTACACTCCTTGACCCGCGAAGAATCGTCTCATTTTACTTACACGTGTACAAACTGATTTCAAGTCGTTGTGCAAAGCAATTAGTGGACGATTATTTTTCGTTTAAAGCACTTTTTTTTTTTTGATAAACTTGCCGCGCAAATGTTTTCATGTTTTTGAGTAAGTCGGACTGGCACAGCTGTCGGTTTGTAAAAAATGAATGCAGCGTGTTCTTACTGAATTCACGTCTCGACAAGGTCTGAAACCTCAAAGAATTTGTTGATTTGCGAAGTTCAAGTCCCTACAGTCTCCACACCCCCGACATCAACATCGATTTACAATAAAAAACCTAGGGTTTCAGTCGAACACATGGTTCACCCCTATGGACCCAACCTAGAACAAGGTCACCTAAAGCAGCATTGTTGATTTTTTTTGACAATGAGAACAAAGCCTACAACCCGCTGTTCTAGCTCAACCAGAGTCCAAACCCATTTTAGATTTTGGGTTTGGTGGGGTTTGGTCAGTTTTTCTTGGTTGAATAATTTTTTTTCTAATTGGCATAAGCTCCACCTTAGAGGCAAATCTCATATTGAAACTTAAATTTGTGTCTCACTTTGCCTCAAACATCCAAATATGAGTTTTAAGTCTCATGTGCATTGAAAATGTTTTGCTTTATATTTGGTCTCAAATATAAGATTTGAGTCCTTAAACTCCTTACATTGAAGATCATGTTAGAAGCTAAAAACAAATGACCATACTGAAGGGAAGTCCACCAAATTATGGCTACACACAAATTTTTTCTTAATTATTGATGTATGACCTTTACGATTCTAATTCCTAGTGATTAACACAAGATGACAGATCATCAATCTCCCGTCATAAGAAGGGAGATTAGCTATTTAAATGATATTTTATAGAGGAATACTAGGAGACTATTTTAAACATTGGATTTTTTATAGACTTTTTGTCATCTTATATTTTTTGCACAATATTTTATAATATTGGTATAATAATTAACATTAAAATTGAGGTGAGAAAGAATCTCACTTTAAGAGAGTCCCTTAGCATGTTTTTTTATTTTGTAAACCACATGACATGGTTGTTGATGATTAAACTATTAGATTTTAATTAGCGTACTTATTTTTTTTATTAATGACAAATCACATAATTTGCAAATGTAATTTAGAAAGTTTGTATCCTATCATTACTCTTAAAAAGCCCATTATGTACATACATCCGTATGTTTACAAGTGCTGGATTATACTAATTTACTTCTCCATCTCCTGCCATTTTCTTATTCTCTCTCTTCCATCTATAATCTCGATTTCCTTCACATCTCCTACAGTAAAAAAAAGTCTGGACCGTGTGCCGACCACCTACTGATTCATGTTCTCTGAACTCCCAAGGAACCATATTCTCATATATTCTCATCTCCATATCCAAATATTCCCACCACCAGCGCCACCACCGCAACCACCATCACCACACTATAAAGCAACACTCATCATGCACTCTTCTACACAAACCCTACCAAGTTCACAGTTTTCTTCTCTGTATTTTCAAAACACAAACCCAATTCAGAAAACACATTTTTAAAAATACCCATTTGTCCATTTTATTTTCTGGGTTCTTATCGTTAACTAAATTAAGGATGAGAAGAAACAGGGGTTTCAGGCTAAAACACAAGCTAGTGAGGATCTTCAAATGGATGATCCGATCCAGAAAAGACGAGACTCAGTGCCAAAGACTGGATCCTCCAGCCCGAACCTACAACCCGATTTCGAAATTCTTCACCTTGGCTCGCTCTCTTCAACGCGGAGCCAAGGAACTCTGCTCCCCAAACTCGGGTTATATTCGGATCCGTGGAGCCCCGGAGGAAACAAAAGCCACGAAACCGGTTGGTGTGCCGAAGGGGCACATGGCTGTGTACGTCGGCGAATCAGACGCTGACACGCATAGGTATTTAGTGCCGGTCTTGTACTTCAATCACCCTTTGTTTGGGGAGCTGTTGAAGGAGGCTGAGAAGGTTTACGGATACAATCATCCGGGTCGGATCGTGATACCTTGTGGGGTTTCGGAGTTTGAGAAAGTGCAGATGAAGATTGCTGCAGGGGACCAGTGCCCACGGCGGAGAAGAAAAAACCGTCGTTCTTGGTGACTTGACCCACAGCTGGTGGCAATTAGGGTAAAATGCCACAACGGTCCAAATTCATGACAGTGGTGTTCATGTTTTTTTATTTTTTTATTTTTTTCGTTTGAAAAAATAGAGTTGCCACTTAGTAGTATGATATAATGATCTAGTAGTATTTATATTCATTTGTAAATGAGAAGTTTTAGATTCAATTCTAGCCAAGTACGACTTTGAATCACATTATTGTTAACTCATTGTGAAACTAAACTCATGTTTGTTCAAAAAAAAAAAAAATAGAGGGTTATTTTTACCCAATTAATTATTGTTTATCTCACTTAATAATGTGCATATTGAAGTCAATACTTATCCATCATCTAATCCTATCCTTAGGGGTTTTCTTTTTTAATGAGTTGTGTTGAATTTTACTTTACGCTACCACTTTTTAGGAACGTTTGGTCCAAATTAGTGAGCGATACAAGCCATCCAAACATAACTTTTGTTTGTTTGTTCATGTTTATCCTTGACGTATTGCGTCCGTGATTAATACAATTATGTGGGATATTCATTGTATTAAGCGAGCTTTACAAATTTTGATAGTCTGGGATTTGATGCATCGAGAGAAAATAGAAAGATCTTCAAATAACTAGGCAAGAGTGAGTGCAAGTTTTACTTGAGGTACATGTAGATGGCAGTGGAGCCAGAATTTTTTGTGAGGAGGTCCTCACATAAGTATAGAAGAAGACAAAACGAATAGTGGTTATAAAATTACTAATGCAAAACATCATAATATATATCCAAATAATTAAGTAGTCAAAATTAACATATGCATAGATAAGTTTATCTATTTATAGTAGTTATAATTATTGTCGACGAATTTCATATTTTGAAACCATTGCATGATGATCTATACTATTGAAAGCATTATTAAACTCAAGTAAGAGGTAGGATAGAATAGAAACAAATATTTTATAGAGAATAATAGAGTTTCACAAACTTATTGTTCTTTATTCAATAAATTTGGAATTCGGAATGGCTAAATATATGAAATTCAAGAAGAATGGGGGGAATAGAGAGTGTACTATACTTAATTTTGGGAGGATTTGGATGAAAGGATAGATAAATGATTGGATTTGTGTTAAGTGTTGAGAAGGGCCGCAAAGCAATAGAAATAGGTGTAATACTAATCTTGTTTTTTCAAGTCAAGGTAGGCCTAGGACTACTCTAGTCCTCATGTGCCTCTGCCGGTGCATGTAGATGTAGGAGGTTACGAGTTACATCATCTCGAGGATAAAACTTTAGTTTCGACTTAAATTTATTACTGATTTTTTTTTTTGGACACTTTGGATGCGGTCTCTAACTATCAATATTCTTTGACTGAAACCTTGTTGGTTTTCAATATTTGATCGAAGTCCCTGAAATTAATGTGATAATGTATTTCTATGTAGGTTACTATATTTTTTAAATTAAAAATTGAAATTTATAGTTGTTTGTATTAATGAGATTTTAAATAAAAAATCCATAATTTGTGGATGAAAATTATTAAAATATAAACTATAGTCTCCAATATATTGTGTGTGTGTGTGTGTGTAAACATGGGTACATTCATCAAAATTAACAAAAAAAAATTGTACCAAAATATGGGCACATTCTTCAAAATTCTTTGATTAAACTTGACATGGATACATTCTCAAATCAAGAAAAAGAATGTACCCATATCAGTTTAAAAATGAATTAGAAAAAAAAAATTGAATAGGTTTTATATTACCAAAATAATAATAATAATAAAAAAAAAAGGTACAATTTACTACAACAAATTGGTATATTTAAGAATGGGTACATTTTAAGATTAAAAAATTGAAAAATTACATGAATGGGTACATATAATGACACACCCCGACCAAAATCAAGGCGTGCTGGCCTCACGTGAAGGTGACATAGCCATGTGCGTAGTGCAAAAATGATAATGATATAAAGAAATGTGAATAACTAAGAACCAAGCTAACTAATTTACACTAAGCAAATAAAAGTGCAATCCCGATATTTAAGTGTGGTTACACAATAATTAGAGTATAGGTAGCCAAAGTGCAGTCCAGCAGGACAAGTACTAATTATACAATACCAAAGGTGGTCCTACATTAGTGATAATCTGTTAGAACCGCCGTCAATTCCTCGTAAGCCACCAACAAGCACTCCTACTTAGAACCGCCGTCAATTCCTCGTAAGCCACCAACAAGCACTCCTACCTAAAACCTGGAGAGGCACAAAACAGAAAGTGTGAGTGGGCAAAAACAAAGCTTTTTAAAACCATTTCACTTGTCAAAGGTAATAACCCCTCACGGTAAAACCTGTATAATTTCCCAGAAAATAGAATACATACGTATATCAAAAATAGCAAAATCCACATATATGCCATGTTAAATATCTCAGCATAAAATATGTTAGCCAGGTGATATAAATCAATGCAAATGATATGTCAGCCGAAGTCATTTAATATGACCTGTATGGCTGAATCTATAGCTCATCCATCTAGCCAAAGTCACCTAATATGACCTGTACAGCTCAACCAATAGCTCAACAAGTATGCCTACACACGAGTCAGAACCACCTAAAGTGGTCTGTACAACAGGACTGGGTGTAAATAAACACGCTAAAGTGCTACGATCACGTGAAAACTGTGCGAATGATCACTGGTCACCTACGAGTCGGAACCACCTATAGTGGTCTGTACGACAGGCCTCTACACCTAACTTGGATACAAGGTGAGCGTATGGTGCGGGAGGTGAACATTATGTGAAAGACTGTGCCCCAACCACGGGCGGGAGCACTAACACCGGGGTGTAGGTTTATGAGCTATAATACATCTCAATATAATCAAGCAACTCACATCCACAATCTATAAACTCACCTGGCACTTACCTGAGCTTCTGCAGCGTCAAACATAAATATGTGCAACTACTAAATGCATATTCTAAGTATAAAATATTTGGCATGGCATTTCAAAACATAAGTCCATTTAAATGAGTTTTTTGGAAAAATATCAAGCATATATATATATATATATATATATATATATATATATATATATATATATATATATATACTGAAAACCAAAAGCCCACTTATTGATATGTGGCAAGGTCGTAACCCCTGAACCTTGATAGGAGCATATTTAGGCGACTTACTTAGCTTGTTTTCGTGCATTTATATTGTGAATTCAGAGTTGTTTTAGTAGTTTAAGCCATTTTCGTGTGTTTTTAGGTTCATATGGCTAAGGAAGCAAAAAGATGCATTTTGGAGCATTCTAGAGCACTTTTGGGCCAAGATTGGATAGTGCAAGCATGGAGGCATGAGGATGGACGAATTTGAAGGCTTGAATTCAGTTAGGGAGCTGCAAGGGGGCCTAAAAACCTTATTTCTAGAAGGCTTTATCTATTCACACATGGTGCCTAATTTCTGCCTAATTTCTGTATTGGAAGAACAAGCCGTCCTACCTTGTCTCCTAGCCATCCTAGCTTGTCCCAAGCCGTCCTACCTTGTCTCCTAGCCGTCCTACCTTGTCTCCTAGCCGTCCTAGCTTGTCACAAGCCGTCCTACCTTGTCTCCTAGCCGTCCTACCTTGTCTCCTAGCCGTCCTAGCTTGTCACAAGCCGTCCTAGCTTGTCTCCTAGCCGTCCTACCTTGTCTCCTAGCCGTCCTAGCTTGTCACAAGCCGTCCTAGCTTGTCACAAGCCGTCCTACCTTGTCTCCTAGCCGTCCTACCTTGTCACAAGCTCATATCTGATTACCCTAGGGTTTTAAGTGCTTATATATACTCATATTAACCCCTAGATCAGATCATTCCCATTCATACACAATTCACACACCAGAAATTCATTGCCGTGTCTCCCTTACAATCCAAACACCATCCTTCCATTTCCACCACTCCCCAAACCATTCACACCATCACACAACCATTCCTTAGACCTTGTGCAGCAACAAAGAGGAAGAGAAGAGGGCCTAAACGTTCATACAATTCAAGTTTGAGTTGTTGGAATGTTTAGGTGTTTCTTTTCCTTTGATTTCAATGTTTAATTTCAATTCTCTTTGTTTTGTACGTATGAGGAACTAAACCCCCCCTTGGCTAGGGGGGGATTCGAAATATATGTTTATGCTTGCAATATGATTTGATTACTTCTAATTACGTTTCATAAGTTGTGAACTCAATTTGTTTAACTGTTTGATTGATAACTTATTTATGTATGTTTATTGAGAGTGCACGCTTAATTTTCATGCATGAATATGACGCTAGAATATAAGTGAGTTTCACCTAATAGTTATGAACTTATATTCACAAGTAGTGGAGGTTGCTTATAAACAATCGCGTTAAATGAATTCTTGGCAAGAGTATCATGCATTCATAGTTACAATTGCCTCGTCAACACTTATAATTTTCATAGAGCATAATGATCTTTCATTGTATCTCTTCTATGCATTCATGTTGAGAACCATTGGAGAATGATTTGAATTGTCGCATGCATCATCCAATTCAATAACATAAGGAAAATTTGAGAGTTAATTAGTGCATCACGGTTAACTTGGGGTGTTGAGCATCATGGTTTATTGAAAAGCAATTGGAAATCGTTTTATATGCAAGTGTAACATGTGTGGAGATGAACCCCTTAGCTAGCCATCCCATCCATTCTATTCCATCAAATTCGTTTTACAATCTGTTTTGTTTCCAAGTTTCTGTTTTAATTTCAAATTCATCCAAAACCAATCCCCCTTTACTTTATTGTCCAAATTAGTTAGAAAGTGTCTTAGTTTGTGTTTATAAGTGTTTTGATTCAATTTGTTGCACAAATTCGTCCAAATTCACCAAGGTGCTCAAAACTGCCTAGAAAGTGTTTTTAAGGCAATTTTGAGTGTTTTGGGTGATGTTTGAGTCTTTTGGTTTGTTTTAGTATTTTAAGCGTTTAGTTTCGCATTCTTCGAGTCTAGTTTAGTGTTTTAAACTTTATTTTACGTTTTTAAGTCAGTTTCCAAGTGATTTGCAATCCCTCCTAATCCCCGGTCCAGAACGATCCCTACTTACATACTTACTACAATTGATAAAAAGAGGGTTTAATTTGTGCGCGTATAATTCTCGCATCAAACCTCGCCTTACTGTGCTCGTCCTCTAGAAACGTCTCACCTATATGTGAAACAACTATTTTAACGTTATTTTAAGCACATAACCAAAACTACGTAAGAACTTCTCATACGTTGCTCAATTGGGTATTTGAATATACCATCGTGGCCTACTCAACCCCACGAACATCCTCATATTTTTAGAATAATTTT